TCATTTACTACCCACATGCCAACTGCCCATTCAACTGCTGGCTGCAACTTCATATACCTACTATCCAACCCTGCAAAACACACTGACTGAAGAAGGGCAAGAGTGGAATCAGGAGACATCCACCTCACTGTCTTCCTACAGCAGAGGCCTGACAAGATGAAGACACCCAGGGAGTGTGTCCTTTCTTCCCCAAGCCCTCAGGCTTATCCCTACCCCAACCATGTACCTTCCCTCTCACTCCAGGCTGGTACATCTGAAGACCCTCTAGGACATGATCTACACCTAGCTGAGCCACTTGACCCTCAGACAGGGGACAACTGCACCCTCTTCCTCTCAGTTAGGGGAGCCCCCAGCTGAGCCCAGCACGTACACTCCTCTGTTGACAGCTTCGCGGCCAATTCCTGTTTCCAGTCCTGACCTCTCTCCAGCACTAGACTCACTCATTTACTACCCACATGCCAACTGCCCATTCAACTGCTGGCTGCAACTTCCCCATGGACACTCAGCTAATGACCCAAGTCTGTCTGGAGACCTAACATGGATGACCAGGAGACTGTGGGACCTTCTGGAAGTTGACTGCTTCCAGGGACTCCACCAAAATTAAAGCTGATCTTACAGTGCCTACCAAAGTAACCCAGCTCAACTGCTGGCTGCAACTTCATATACCTACTATCCAACCCTGCAAAACACACTGACTCAAGAAGGGCAAGAGTGGAATCAGGAGACATCCACCTCACTGTCTTCCTACAGCAGAGGCCTGACAAGATGAAGACACCCAGGGATCAACTGCTGGCTGCAACTTCATATACCTACTATCCAACCCTGCAAAACACACTGACTCAAGAAGGGCAAGAGTGGAATCAGGAGACATCCACCTCACTGTCTTCCTACAGCAGAGGCCTGACAAGATGAAGACACCCAGGGATCAACTGCTGGCTGCAACTTCATATACCTACTATCCAACCCTGCAAAACACACTGACTCAAGAAGGGCAAGAGTGGAATCAGGAGACATCCACCTCACTGTCTTCCTACAGCAGAGGCCTGACAAGATGAAGACACCCAGGGATCAACTGCTGGCTGCAACTTCATATACCTACTATCCAACCCTGCAAAACACACTGACTCAAGAAGGGCAAGAGTGGAATCAGGAGACATCCACCTCACTGTCTTCCTACAGCAGAGGCCTGACAAGATGAAGACACCCAGGGATCAACTGCTGGCTGCAACTTCATATACCTACTATCCAACCCTGCAAAACACACTGACTCAAGAAGGGCAAGAGTGGAATCAGGAGACATCCACCTCACTGTCTTCCTACAGCAGAGGCCTGACAAGATGAAGACACCCAGGGATCAACTGCTGGCTGCAACTTCATATACCTACTATCCAACCCTGCAAAACACACTGACTCAAGAAGGGCAAGAGTGGAATCAGGAGACATCCACCTCACTGTCTTCCTACAGCAGAGGCCTGACAAGATGAAGACACCCAGGGATCAACTGCTGGCTGCAACTTCATATACCTACTATCCAACCCTGCAAAACACACTGACTCAAGAAGGGCAAGAGTGGAATCAGGAGACATCCACCTCACTGTCTTCCTACAGCAGAGGCCTGACAAGATGAAGACACCCAGGGATCAACTGCTGGCTGCAACTTCATATACCTACTATCCAACCCTGCAAAACACACTGACTCAAGAAGGGCAAGAGTGGAATCAGGAGACATCCACCTCACTGTCTTCCTACAGCAGAGGCCTGACAAGATGAAGACACCCAGGGATCAACTGCTGGCTGCAACTTCATATACCTACTATCCAACCCTGCAAAACACACTGACTCAAGAAGGGCAAGAGTGGAATCAGGAGACATCCACCTCACTGTCTTCCTACAGCAGAGGCCTGACAAGATGAAGACACCCAGGGATCAACTGCTGGCTGCAACTTCATATACCTACTATCCAACCCTGCAAAACACACTGACTCAAGAAGGGCAAGAGTGGAATCAGGAGACATCCACCTCACTGTCTTCCTACAGCAGAGGCCTGACAAGATGAAGACACCCAGGGATCAACTGCTGGCTGCAACTTCATATACCTACTATCCAACCCTGCAAAACACACTGACTCAAGAAGGGCAAGAGTGGAATCAGGAGACATCCACCTCACTGTCTTCCTACAGCAGAGGCCTGACAAGATGAAGACACCCAGGGATCAACTGCTGGCTGCAACTTCATATACCTACTATCCAACCCTGCAAAACACACTGACTCAAGAAGGGCAAGAGTGGAATCAGGAGACATCCACCTCACTGTCTTCCTACAGCAGAGGCCTGACAAGATGAAGACACCCAGGGATCAACTGCTGGCTGCAACTTCATATACCTACTATCCAACCCTGCAAAACACACTGACTCAAGAAGGGCAAGAGTGGAATCAGGAGACATCCACCTCACTGTCTTCCTACAGCAGAGGCCTGACAAGATGAAGACACCCAGGGATCAACTGCTGGCTGCAACTTCATATACCTACTATCCAACCCTGCAAAACACACTGACTCAAGAAGGGCAAGAGTGGAATCAGGAGACATCCACCTCACTGTCTTCCTACAGCAGAGGCCTGACAAGATGAAGACACCCAGGGATCAACTGCTGGCTGCAACTTCATATACCTACTATCCAACCCTGCAAAACACACTGACTCAAGAAGGGCAAGAGTGGAATCAGGAGACATCCACCTCACTGTCTTCCTACAGCAGAGGCCTGACAAGATGAAGACACCCAGGGATCAACTGCTGGCTGCAACTTCATATACCTACTATCCAACCCTGCAAAACACACTGACTCAAGAAGGGCAAGAGTGGAATCAGGAGACATCCACCTCACTGTCTTCCTACAGCAGAGGCCTGACAAGATGAAGACACCCAGGGATCAACTGCTGGCTGCAACTTCATATACCTACTATCCAACCCTGCAAAACACACTGACTCAAGAAGGGCAAGAGTGGAATCAGGAGACATCCACCTCACTGTCTTCCTACAGCAGAGGCCTGACAAGATGAAGACACCCAGGGATCAACTGCTGGCTGCAACTTCATATACCTACTATCCAACCCTGCAAAACACACTGACTCAAGAAGGGCAAGAGTGGAATCAGGAGACATCCACCTCACTGTCTTCCTACAGCAGAGGCCTGACAAGATGAAGACACCCAGGGATCAACTGCTGGCTGCAACTTCATATACCTACTATCCAACCCTGCAAAACACACTGACTCAAGAAGGGCAAGAGTGGAATCACATGTTCCATCCCAAGCCCAAAGCTCCTTAGCCCTTCTCTGGACTGTCCCTGGGATCCTGTGAGCCAATCTTTTACCTAAGCACACTCTCACTTTATCACTGGGCACATTACCACACAGACTTACAACTAATTAATTACCCCGACACTAGGTTAAAAGTCCAAAACTTTAAAAACAATTACTTTTGGGCCGGCCCGGTGGCGCACTGGATAGTGCGCCGCTTGGGAAGCGCGGTGGCGCTNTGTGGGACCTTCTGGAAGTTGACTGCTTCCAGGGACTCCACCAAAATTAAAGCTGATCTTACAGTGCCTACCAAAGTAACCCAGCAGACTGCAAGGATCATTACCCAACTGGTGACCTTGGAGGGAGGCAGGAGGGCCTACCACCCAGCCCAAGTAAAGTGCAGTGGATGTAGATTTCTCTGCAGGCTTCACAGCAATTTAGCAGTGTCAAAGGACTCAGTTTGCGCTTGCTGTTGTGGGGGGCACTTAACTGACCTCAAAGCAGAAAAGCCCCCAGGCAGAAATGTGATCCAACTACAGCATGCAAAGCCGCTGAGGGGACTGCTCAATTTCCTCACTTCCTGAGACCAAGCCTTTCCTCCCCTGCCTGCGGCAGCTTCTCAACAAGGCAAAAATAGGGAAACTTGGTCCCTCCTGACCATGAGTCTACAGAAACTCTTAAGTGCAGGGGGAGGAGAGCGAGATTCCCTAACTGCCCCTTTCTGTTGGTCACGAATACATTTCCCAACTTAAGACACAAAATTGGGACCCTACCCAATACCAACCACCATAACGAGCTTTAAAACCAGCCTGTAGTTTGTCGAGTGCTCCCCAGTAACAAAACACTAATAGTTTTTTACCAGCTCATCTCACGAAATCAGCTTTCAGCTGCCACCCTGACTTGTCTCTTGCCAGGTGTCAGGGTCAAAGGGCTAGATGTGCAGGGCGGGTCCTGGCCTCCACTTGCCATTTCCTCTGCCTGGAAATGACTATTTCCCGCCCTCATATGTAAATGCTGGCTTACCCAGAATTACTCACTGGTTTTGAATCAACACTGTTGGCCCCCATTCATGAAACTGGAAGTGGCTGGTAAATGTTTGTTTTGTTCACTACTGTCACCCACCATAAGACAAGGACCATCTGGTAGGGATTCACAAGTATCTAAACCAACAGGGTTAACCAGGCCCCTTCTGTACACAAGGCAACACTCAATGAGTGAACTAGCCCTGAAGTAGCCTGTTCTAGGATCCAGCCCTAGCTTCCTTCCACTACAGAAGCTGTATGTTCAGAGCAGAGAGTGGGGACAGTCAGGGAGAAGAGACACACCAATAAACACCAGTTCTCAAGTGTTGATCCTCAGCACTCCAAGCTCCCAAGCCAGGGCAGTGGGGACCTCTCCTCCTCCCACCAAAGCCTTAGCCATGCCCCCTCCACCTACAACCAGACTAGCAATGACCACTGAGCTGCCATCATTAACACCCTGAGCTCCTGAGATGGGGTGGTGGGGGGCCAATGACTTCAGTCACACCACCCTGACATCTGCATACAGCCCAGCAATGACCAAGCCGCTGCTTGAAGCCCCCTGGTCTCCCCTGCCAGAATGAGGGGGGTGCCATGGGCCTCATCCACACAACTTCCCTCTTTCCCTCCCCCCACAACTGCTCCACATCTTAGAACATAAAAAAAATAATATTAGTAAACAAAATAAATAAAAGGGTTGATCCTGTTTTATTATCTGACTGGAAAACTAGGCAATCCACCAGCCCGGGAGGGGACTGGAGGGCTTAATCCTCCTCCTCATCATCACCAGCTCCAGCCCCACCCTGGCCCTTTTTGGCGTTCTTCCTCTTCACACGGCCTGGACGGCCACCCCCATATGGAGAGCGGAGGGAGAAGTCGATGTGCTTCTGGGAGTCCAGGCGGACAATGAAGGATGGGATGTTCACCACTTGCTTGCGGACCCTGGAGGGGGGAATGGCAGGTCAAGGCAAGTGGGGAGGAAATAGGATCCCAACCCAAGGTAAGACACCACTCTCTCCTCTCTGCTTGTCCTCTGCAGCTGACCTGGTTGGTGCTACAGGTGCACTGACACTGAAGCAATGCCAGAAGGGCATTCCTGACCCTAGGATGAACTCCTGTGTGTCCGGGAGTGTCAGGGCATCATCTCATCCACACAAAAGCATTAGATAAGTTTCTCATTCACATTTTACAGAAGGGGAGAAAAGTTCAGTAGTAATCCACACAAGACCACAAGCGAATGAGGTAGAACGTATGAAACTAAGATCAGATTTTCAAATACTCTGAATTCTGCCAGGCACTGAGCTTTATCATGTGCAGTTTCACTGTTCTCGAGGCAGCAACCTGATGCTAGGTCTATGAGACCATTTCAGACAAAGAAATGAGTGAGGCTCTTGACCCTGGGTCAGAGGGCTGAGGCAGAAATTCAGACTGCAAACACCTTGTCTGCTTACTTTACAGCTTCTTTCAAATGGTGCCCATTCTACTAAAGGGGTAAATAAAGACCCCTTTTTATTCGCCAACTACCACCTGAGCCAGCTAGACTCCTGTGGTCCTTGGCATTTGAGCAACAGACCACAGACTGGTGAAGTCATAAAGTTAATGCCAACAGAGCAGAAGAATGCAACGATCAGAGTCTGAAATGGACGTCACAAGCCAGCCAGCCCAGTAAACTGCTGAACACAGCAGAGCCAATTTTGGCCCAGTTCTCTCCCTATATTGGGGATACCAAGAGCTGTTACCTGTCCAGCAGCCCGCATGCCTGGCAGAAGCCTTCGCAAGGTGTACGGCTCAGACCGCAGTGACCCTTGCGCTGGGCTATGGGGGGATGAGGATGTCCCCAGCTCCCCCACAAGCTGTTTGCAGAGGGTGAATCTGTACCCTCAAGGTAAGTTCACACCTGTCACCTCCAAGGGCTGCGTAGGAGATAGGGACAGCAGGCTTAGAGAGGGCAACCATCAGAAGGGATGGGGTGGGGGAAGATTCAGGGGGTCCAACAGGTACTACCTGATATGGCGCTGGCGGATGAGCACACGGGCGTGGTGGATGGACTTGGCCAAGCCCAGTTTGAACACCTGGGTCTGCAGGCGCCTCTCTAAGAAATCTTCAATCTTCAGGCCCAGGATGTAATCCAGCTTCATCTTGCCCTCGTCCAACACCCCGATGCGGACAAGTCGCCGCAGCAGAGCATTACCTGGGAAGAGTGGGAGGAAGTACTTGATTCAGGGTTCTGACCCCACACTTCTTAGGTTCACAGCCAGCCTGGCCCCGCCATGTTGTGGTGATGGGACACAGGCAGGAAGTAAAGGCTAATTCTGATATAGGATTCAATATACCAACCACTGTGACTCACATAATCCTCAAAACCCTAATGCAGGTTATTATGGCTATTCTCCCTCTTACTAAGGAGGGCAGATGTCTACATACACCTGTGTTATCTGAAAAGAGAAGTAGAACCTCCCTCACTCAGCACTGTTGGCAAGAGTAAATGAGGTAGATA